AGTCCTAGTCTCGAACCGCGGTCAACTATGTGGGAGTCCAGCACCCTTAATCACCATGCCACCTGCCACCTTACTCTGTCTCTCCAACAAGCACATGCACCTATAGCAAAAATCTCTCTTTAAAAACAAATAAACAAACACAAAAATCAATTGGAAGGGCCAGCAGGTGGTATGACGGTTAAGGTACTGGATTCCCACATGACCAAACAGGGTTCAAGTAACAGACCCACGGGTTTGAAAAATCACACCTGGCACATGCGTGTGTGTGTGCCCAAAATCCCGAAAGGAGCATGGAATAGAAGGAACTGTGGCATGGCCATCCCCCTGTGGGGCTGATTTCTCACTTTCTCTATCTGTATCTCTCCAGAGAGCACATGTGCCCTATGGCAAAACTAACAAACAACAACAAAAAACCCTGTTGAAAAAACAGGTGAAACTGGGACCAGCAGTTAGTGTAATGACTATGTCGCTGGACTCCCATGTAGTCGACCAAGTCCTGGACCCAGTGGCTTAAACTCACACCGGGCGCGTGTGCGTGCGTGCCCAAGATCCCGAGAGGAGAATGGAAGAGAAGGGATTGCAGCATGGCCAGCCCCCCTGGGGGGTGATTTCTCACTTTCTGTCTCTCTGTCTCTCTCTCTGGCTTTCTGACAAGCACACGCACCCTATAGTAAGAAACTCTCCAAAAAAAAAAAAGTGAAACTTATTCACTCTTTTATACACCTGTCTATGCGCTAATGTTGCACAGATCATGTACAAAACACATGGTTACTACATACTGAAGCATGAAAATACAATGGCATGGCCAGCAGGTGGTGTGGTAGTTAGAACACTGAACTTCCACATGGTCAACCATGGTTTGAGACTTAGACCTGGTGGCTTGCTTCTTTGCTTTCTCTCTTTCTCTCTCTTTGTTTCTCTCTAGTCAAATTGGAAAAAAAAAAAAAAAGAAGAAGAATAGTAATAAATACAATTAAATAATTATTTTTTTTTTAAAAGAAGAGATGGCAGGTGGCCTGGTGGTTAAAGCAGCTGGACTCCCACATGGCTGACTGTGGTTCAAGTCCTGGACCTGGCAGCTTGCTTTCTCACTTTCCTTCTCTTCTTCTCTCTGTGTCTCTCTCTGGTCATCTTCAACCAACCAACCAATCAATCAATCAATTTTTTAAAAAAATAAAGATAATGAATAAAATTAAACAATTCTTTAAAAAACAAAAAGAAAGACAATGCAATGGCATGATAGGATTTACTTGCCATGACCTAGTTACTTTCTTTGTCACATTGATTTCTTTTATGATCCCCATCCAATTTGAGGAAGGAAAATGCTTAACACGAATTATAAATGAGCTGAGAGGAAAATATCTATCATCTCATCACTCAACATTAACCACTTAATGTCCTTCCAGACTTTTGTCTAAGCAAATGCTTATTTATATAAATATAATATGATTAAATTATTTTGCAATACTTTTTTTTTTTTGAGAGGTTTTGCTATAGGGTGTATGCGCTTGCCAGAAAGACAGACAGGGACAGAGAGACAGAAAACAAGAAATCACACCTCATGGGGATGACCATGCCGTAATCCCTTCTCATCTATTCTCCTCTTGGGATCTTGGGCACGAATGTACACACACCCAGCATGAGTTTAAGCCACCAGGTTCGGGACTCAAATCACGGTCAACCACATGGGAGTCCAGCGACATAGCCATTACACCAACTGCTAGTCCCCAATACTCTTTTTTTTTTAAGAGAGTTTTTTTTTGCTATAGAGCACATGTGCTCACCAGAGAGACAGAGAGACAGAAAGCGAGAAATCACCCCCTAGCGGGGATGGCCACACCACAATCACTTCTTTTCCATCCTCCACTCAAGATTTCAGGCACACATGCACATGCACCCAGCATTGAGTTTCAAGCCACTGGGTCCAGGACTTGAATCACAGAACGCCATCTGGGAGTCCAGCGATGTAACTGCTACATCATCTGCTGATTCCTCATTTTTTTTGTTCAAGTCATGACTGGGACCAGAAGATGGCATAATATTTATGTCACTGAACTCCCACATATTAGACTGCAGTTCGAATCCCAGACCTGTTGGCTTAAAACTCACACCAGGCGTGCATATCTGTGTGTGTGTGTGCCCAAAATCCTGAGAGGAGAATGGAGGAGAAGGGACTATGGCATGGCTATCCCCCCAGGGGGTTATTTGTTGCTTTCTATCTCTCTGTCTCTATCTCTCAGATGAGCGCACATGCTCTATAACAAAAATATCATAAAAAGAAAAAAAATCATGACCTTAACACTTTTTTTAAATGATGTATTTAATTTTTTATTTATTCATCCACTTATTTTGATTTGAAAAGAGAGAGACACAGAGAGAGAGAAAATGAAAAAGCAAGCCACCAAGTCCAGGACTTGAACTGTGTATGGCCATGTGGGTGTGTCCAGTGCCTTAAACACCATGCCACCTACTGGCTTCATGACCTTAACTCTTTACAAACAAAACCAGCCATTTGATTAACGTAGGCAATCTAATCATTTCTCTTGGAATAAGAATTTTTTACACTCCTTTTGGAGAATATTTTGGCAATATGCATCAAGAATGTGCAGAAGTACCTACTTTTTTCTTTTTTTGAGAGATTTTTGTTATAGGGCATGTGTGCTTGCTGGAGAGACAGACAGAAAATGAGAAATCTCCCCCCAGGAGTGATGGACATACTACAACCCCTAATTGGATTAAAAAAATCAGGCTGAATTGTTAATCATGTCTGTGAAGAATGTGATTCATTAATTCTAATAAATATTGATTCATTGGAAAGGTCATGACTTTTCCTACGACCTAATAAATGTTACTTACTTCCATGATTTTAAGACTTTGGCTCAGACAATACTAGTATCTTAATATAATAACATATTTATGGGGACCAGCAGGCGGCATGGTGGTTAAGTCTCTGGACACTCGTATATAGCCAACCATGGTTCGAGTTCCGGACCTGCTGGCTTGCTTTCTCACTTTCCCTCTCTATCACTCTCTGTGTCTCTCTCAAATTAAATTAAATTAATGTCAAATTAAAATAAATTAATGACTAAAAAATATTAAAATAAATAAGTGTTTAAAAATCTATATAACTATTTCAAATTTTAAAATTAAAATGAGTAAGAGATGCATTCTCAGGGCCAGCAGGTGGCATGAGGTTAAGGATCTGGACTCCTACATGGCAGAGCATGGTTTGAGTTCTGGATATAGCAGCTTGCTTTACTTTCTCTGTGTGTGTGTCTCTCTTTGTCTCTCTCTAGTGAGCGTATGTGCCCTATAGCAAATTTTTCTTTAAATGACAGTAAATAAATTTAAATAAATAAATATTTTTTAAAAAGATATGCATTTGCTTGTAAAATCTGTCCCCAAGGGGCCAATAGGTGACACGGTGGTTAAGACACTGGAATCCTACATCGCTGTCAATGGTTCAAGTCACAGACCCAGTGGCTTATTTTCTCACTTTCTCTCTCTCTCTCTCTCTGGCCAAGTTGTTTTGTTTTGTTTTGTTTTTTAAGTAGTAACAATGAATAAAATTAAATTAATTTAGTCTTTTAAAATAAATCTGCCCCCCTGATAGGTATTTTCTGAGCTGTGAGCTCTCTAATGACAGGCTCTAACAGTGGGAAGTAGATAGGACTAGCTAGTGGTCTTCATAAAATGTGTTTAAAGTGCATGGGCCTCGCCTTTCCTCCAAGCAACAGAAATGATTGAGAGATGATCTCTTTTGCAGGTCACCCAAGCAATGTTTCTAGTCAACTCAAGGCTGAAATCATAGGTCTGAGGGAAGAACAAGATGCATATAAACGGATTCCAAAATGTGGTCAATGACAACAGTTTCAAGTCCTTCTACAACCTAACCACTTGAGTCTAGCATCTTGCCATTTAATTGTGAACTCCCTGCCATTGCTGATCAGGCTCTTCATAACATTTGCAGTTTTTCACTGCAGCAACCTGTTCAGTTTGTATTGACAAATAAAATCTTTAAGAAATCTTAAAAAAAAAAAAAAAAAAAATCTGCCCCCAAGCCTAAGCCACCTTTTGTGTCCTCTTTCCAACCTAATTCACAACTGGAAATCCAGTCAGCAGATAGTTAACACTTTCATTCATTTTTATCTTTAGTACATATTAACTCACCTAAATGCTTGTAATGATGATTATGAGCTTGTAATAAAACTTTTACTCGATCCAAAGGAGCAACTGTTGTTTTGGCACAGCATCCGGCAATACCTAAAAAGTTTTTAAAAGGTTAGGAAGAAATTGCATACTATTTATTTCCAAATGGAAATCATTATTTGTTCAGCTAGAAATCCTCTGATTTTTGGTTTGGTCTCATGGGTAAAAACTTCTTTTTTTTTTGGAGAGATTTTTGCCATAGGGTGCGTGCGCTCACCAGACAGAGAGAGAGACAGAGAGACAGAGAGACAGAAAGCAAGAAATCACCCCCCACGAGGGATAGCCACACCGCAATCCATTCTCCTCCATTCTCCTCTCGGGATCTTGGGCACGCACGCACACACGCCCGGCATGAGTTTTAAGCCACCAGGTGCGGGACGCAAACCGCAGTTGACTACATGGGAGTCCAGTGACATAGCCATTACGCTGACTACTGGTCCCCATGGGTAAAAGCTTCCAAGGATCAGGAATACATAGATGATTAGTCCCTATTCCCTGCCTGTCACTTACTAGATGAGCATGTCAGATCAGAAATAAGTTTTAAGGGTATAAATCAGCAGTCTTGCTAACAATAGCAGTCTTGTTAAAATCTGATTATGGTGACAAACACTTGAAGGTCTCACTGTAAGGTTCTGCTTGAAGTAACCTCTTCTGGATGACTCTTCATTGCAACAAACAACTCTACCCATAAAATGAGTCATTTTATATACCCATACAATTAGTTGTTCATTTACACACCCAGAAAATATTTGTTCCCTACCATGTGCTACTGGGCAGGTATGTGATGAAAGCAAAGAACTTCCATGGGGTTTAACATAGGTCAGAATCCAGGCATGCTTCTTAAGTGGTAATACAGGGATTTTATTGCAATATCTTATGTGTAGTAAGCCCTCAGTAAAACTAGTTATTACTATTATTTTAAAAATTTGAATAAAAATCTTTTGCGAGGGGACCAGCAGATGGCGTGGTAGTTAAGGTGCTGGACATTCTCATATGGCTGACCACGGTTCAAGTCCTGAATCTGGTGGCTTGCCTTCTCACTTCCTCTCTCTCTCTCTCTTCCTCTGCCTCTCTCTGGTCAAATTAAAATAAATGAATAAAATTAAATTAAATTAATAATTAAAAAAAATCTTTTGTGATGGGTCAACATATGGTGGGGTGGTTAAGGTACTGGATGCCCACATGGCTGACCATAGTTTGAGTCCTGGACCTGGCAGCTTGCTTTCTCACTTTCCTTTTTTCTCTCTCTCTCTCTGCCTGCCTCTCTTTGGTGAATGCATGTGCACTAAAGCAAACAAAATAATAATAATAATAATGATAAATTAAATAATAATAATTTTAAAAAAAATTTTTTTGGAGAGGTTTTTGCTATAGGGCGCGTGTGCTCACCAGACAGACAGAGAGAGACAGAGAGACAGAAAGCGAGAAATCATCCCCCATTGGGACGGCCATGCTGCAATCCCTTCTCCTCCGTTCTCCTCTCAGGATCTCGGGCATGCATGCACACGTGCCCGGCGTGAGTTTTAAGCCACCGGGTCCAGGATGCAAACTGCGGTAAACTACATGGCAGTCCAGAGACATAGCCATTATGCTAACTGCTGGTCCCAAATAATAATAATTTTTAAAGATTCAAGTCCAGAACCTGGTGGCCTAGAACTCATTCCAGGTGCATGAACGTGCATGCCCAAAATCCCTAGAGGAGACTAGAGGAGAAAGGACTGTAGTGTGGTCATCACTGTAGGGGGAGATTTCTCACTTTCTGTCTATCTCTCTCTGTCTCTCCAATGAGCACATGTACCCTACAGCAAAAATCTCTCAACAACAACAAAAACCCAATTGAGGGGCCAGGTGTTGAGTTGGTGGCAGGGTGGTCATGAACCCGGACTCATCTAGAAAGGTACTGGGTTCATGTCCCAGGATCTTCCTATGCTCACCAGTCACTTCCATGCCCATGATCTGGGCTGTTTGAGGCTAAAGGTAGATCATGGCGTGAAGACTCATTTGGGGGTACTTTCTTTCTCTACCTTTCATTCTTTCTGTCGCATAAACTAAATAAGTTTTTATTATTATTATTATTCATTTATTTGTAGAGGTTGCTACCTAAGGGTGAGTGTGCTCACCAGAGAAAAAGAGAGACAGAGACAGTGAGAGGGAAAGTGACTACTCACTCCCTAGAGAGGAGGGCCACACCACAATCCTTTCTCCTCCATTCTCCTCCTGGGATGCTGGGCAAACACACGTGTCCAACTTGAGTTTCAAGCCACCGGTTCCAGGACTCGAACCACGGTTGGCTAGGAGTCCAGTAATGTAAATACTACACCTTCTGCTGGCCCAAAAACTAAATAAACTTTAAAAAAATAAAAATAGTGCTAGTTCTGCAGCCTAGCAGTTAAGTGAGCCAGATTTCACATGGCCAACAGAGCAGTTCGAATCCCAGCCCCAGGGGCTTAAAAAAACATGCTGGGGGGACCAGCAGTTAGTGTAATGGCTATGTCGCTGGACTCCCATGTAGTCTACTGCAGTTCAAGTCCTGGACCCGGTGGCTTAAAACTCATGCCGGACTCGTATGCATGCATGCCCTAGATCCTGAGAGGAGAATGGAGGAGAAGGGATTGCGGTGTGGCCATCCCCCCTGGGGAGTGATTTCTAGCTTTCTGTCTCTCTGTCTTTCTCTGTCTTTCTGGCGAGTGCACACACCCTATAGCAAAAACCTCTCCAAAAAAAACATGCTCGGCACATATGCATGCAAGCCCCAAATCCCAACAGGATGACAAAATGAAGGAGATAGGATTGCTGTATGACCAAGCCCCATGGTGGGGTGCTTTCTCCCTGTCCATCTGTCTCTCTCTGACAAGTGCAAGCTCCTTGACAATTAAAAATAAGTTAACTGGGGAGCCAGCAGATGGCATGCTGGTTAAAGGTGCTGGACTCACACATGGCCAACTGCAGTTGAAGTCCTGAATCTGGTGGCTTGTTTACTCACTTTCCCTCTCTCACTCTCTGTCTCTCTCTGATCAAACTGAAAAGTAATAATAATAAATAAATTTACATAAAATAATTCTTTAAAAAAAGTTTAGGGACCAGCAAGTGGCATGGTGGTTATAGCACTGGACACGACCATACGGTTGACCATGGTTGGAATCCTGGACCTGCTGGCTTGCTTTCTCACTTTTCTTCTCTCTCTCTCTCTGTTTCTGGTTCTGGTCAAATGAAAATAAATGAATGAATAAATAAAATTTTAAAAATAAATAAATAAAATAATTCTTAAAATAAAAAATGTTAGGGACCATCAGATGGCATGGTGGTTAAGGCACTGGACACTCCCACATGTCCGATCACAGTTCAAATCCCAGACCTGGTGGCTTGCTTTGTCACTTTCCCACTCTCTCTCTGTTTCTCTCTCTGGTCAAATTAAAATAAATTAATGAATAAATAAAAATAAATAATTCTCTTTTTTTAAATTAGTTCATAGGGACCAGCAGATGGCATAGTGATTATGTTGGTGGACTCCCACATGGCTAACCACAGTTTGAGTCCTGGACCCAGTGGCTTGAAACTCACACTGGACGTGCCTATGTGCCCAAGATCTCAGGAGAACGGAGGACAACAGAGGACAAGGGCCTGTGGTGTGGCATCTCCCCAGGGGGTGATTTCTCACTTTCCCTCTCATTGTGTCTTCTCTGTCTCCTTCTCTCCATTGATCACATGTGCCCTGGGCAAAAACCTCTAAAAAAAAAAAAAGTTAATAGAGTCCAGACACAGTAACCATAATAGCAGGATGCTGCTGTACCAGGTTGGGGCCACATAGGAGGCCTTGGTTTAGATCCCAGACCAACCTAAACAGGCTGGACACAGTAGCCCACACCTGTAATTCTAGCTTATTGGGAGACTGGGGCAGAAGACTGCAATGGTGAGAGCCTGTTAAAAAAAATCTATGTCTCAGGGCCAGCAGGTGGCGTGATGACTAAGGTGCTGGACACTCCCACATGGTCGATCACAGTTCCGAGTACCAGACCTTGTGGCTTGCTTTCTCACATTTTGTCTGTGTATGTGTGTGTCTCTCTCTGGTCAAATTAAAAGAAATGAATGAATAAATAATTTTTAAAATATATCTATTCCTCTCTCTCTAAGCTCATTCCATGCTCTCTTCAAGTGGCATGGTGGTTAAGGGTGCTGGACTTCCACATAGTTGACCACAGTTTGAGTCCCAGTCCTGGCAACTTGCTTTCTTACTTTCTCTCTCTCTCATTCTCCCTGCCCCGGTCAAATTAAAATAAATAAACAAAGTTAAATAAAATAATTCTTTTAAAAAAATAAGAACAGAGGCAGTATGTGGTCTAGATCTCACATGTCTGATTGCACAGTTTGAGGCCCAGAAGAGGGAGAGATGGAGGAGAAGGGACTGTGGTATGATCATGTCCCATGGAGGGGGTGGGATTTCTCACATTCTATCTCATTTCCTCTTTTCCTCTCTCACTCTTTTTTTTCTTCCCTCTTTCTCTCCCTCCTTCCCTTCCTCCCTTCCCCCCCCCCTCTCTCCAGTGAACACAAATACCCTCCAATAAAATTTTGAGAAACAAACAAATTTAGGACCAGCAGAAAAGAAAACAACTGCATATAACCACATAAATACTGGTATGCAACTTTTCTTCATTCAAATGACAAAAACACTAAAACGAAGTACATTTTCATCAATTTAAAAACTGTGGTATATCCACACAATTCTATATTATTCATTAATAAAAGAGAACACATAAGGGCCAACAGATGGTATAGTGGTTACATCCCTGGACTCCACATGGCTGCCCATGATTGGAGTCTTGACCTGGTGGCTTGAAACTCATGCCAGGTGCATATGCGTGCATGCCCAAGATTCTGGGAGGAAATTGAAGAAAAGGGATTGTGGCAGTAGCCATCCCCCTAGTGAGTGATTTCTCACTTTCTCTCTCACTGTCTCTGTCTCTCTGGCAAGCGCATGTGCCCTAAGGCAAAAACCTCTAAAAATAAAAAAATAATAAAAAGGAATACACTACTGTTATATGGAGGCTGGGTGA